GGACTAACTTCCTTTAAATTTTCTTTTAATTAAAAAAAGTACTTTCATAAAATTAGTCAAAAGAGTCCAAAAATAGTTTTTAGGTTTCAAAAGCTCCTTTTGACTTTTTGAAAGCCATTCCAAACGAGTTCTTAATCTAACGGCTGAAATTGCTTTTAAATGGTTCGCTAATTACAACTAAAGTATTATTATGTTGAGACACATATATTTTTCTGTCTTTTTTAGTAATTTAGATTATGGGATACATCGCGCTGTATTTTTGTCCACTCTCGTGTTATCTTCAAAGTTCACTAGTTTAGGTCCCTACCTAGAAATTTAGAGAAAATGGAAAGTGGAAGTGTAGATTTTATTGTCGAAAGAATACAAAATATACGAGTGTATTTGTTGACCACAAAATTTGACAAAAGCGTGGCCAATAGAATTTTGATCACCTCCCCTCCACATAAAACGTCATCTGTACACTAGAACGCCCTATTAGAAGGCAAAGATTACCGATTCAAAAAAAATTCCAACGTTCATTTGCACTCTTATGTTCAAATCAAAGTTGAACAAGGAAAAAAAGTAAACATGAGACGGAAGAGTGAGATTGGCCAAATGGGGTTAATGGATTGAGCCCAAGTTCAAGACATGATTACTTGATTAAATAGACCCAATCCAATTGAATAATCGATGTCGTGTTGATATGTATAAGACTCACTTCATCACGTGTATGTCACATAATTTGTAGATATAACATGTAAGACAATTGGTGTGTCTTCGAGCCGACTCAATCATGAAGTTACCTAGGCCTTGCCTAAGTGTCCATATTTATGAAGGGCCCTTTTAAAATTTATATATTTGTAATTTCTTTTCTTTTTAATAATGAGAATAATTTATTTTAAAAAAAAGGAAAACTTAGAATAAAGTCCGACCCAATTGTCAGTATATCTGGCCTAACAAATAGATATCAAATACTTTTCTCTTCCCATTTTTTTCTTGTTTCTTTTTTTATTAAAAACTAGGGTTAGACATGATTCTATTCGATTTGATTCTAAAAACAATCCAATCGAATCAAAATTTTTGGGTATTTAGTAAGTGGAACTATCGGATCTGAATTTAGTTATGAAACCATTCGATTTGTTTTGGCTTCGTACCATAGTTAAATTTTTTTAACATTTATAGCAACATTACATTAATCCAATTAATGACATGTTCAATCTTAATTCTTACAACAACACTATATTAACACTTGCAAAATAACATAGTTCAATTTAAAAATATACAAATAACAAATTTTTGAATAAGGTCCATTCACCAATGTATACAAATGACCTTGATCAAGGTGAATAAAATTTAATGAATAGGGCAAAAAAAAGAGTAAGATGATGAGAGGCACAGCCAATCATTTTCGATTATTTAAGAAATGACAGAATGATTGAGAAAAACTTAGATCACTCAATTTTGATTATTTAAAATTTGAATTACAAAGTTGGGCTTGGATTGTAAATGGAAAAATAATATTTTGAGCTCAATTAATTAGTTGGTAAATTGAATAGGAAAATGACATTTTTGAGCTCAATTAATTAGTTGGCAAGTGATACATGAAAAAGTTGAAATAATTTGACTTGTTTAATATAAAGAAATTTAGAAACTTTTGGAGATTCAATTTTTTCGGTTCTTGATTTAGAATTGAAAATCGAACTCCTCAATTCTAGATTTCGATATCCGATTTAACTTAAAAAGAATCGTTCAATTTGGTTCAATTCAGTTTGGGTTCGATTCAATTTGAGAGTTTTGTCCAATCCTATTGAAAACCCCATATACTTTTAGATTATAATCAAAGAAACAAATATTTCGTCTACAACTTGCAATCAATAGTATCAATTTAAATAATATATGTTCTTGTTCTTCTTATCAACATAAACAAGTTTTCCATTCTCTCTTTTCCCTTATTTTGAACTGATTTTGATATTTTTACTTAATTGGTGAGTACTTTAATATGAATATATCTCTAAAATTATATAGTTTGTTTGTTTAATGTTGGTTCCAGGTTATTTGTGAGCAGTCAAGATGATTGTTTGTGAGTGCAAAGTTCAATCCACAGAAGCGTAGTTAAACCACAATTTTACGAAGTAGAAGTGTAGTACAAAACCATAAAACCATGATGAAATAAGGAGTAGAAAAGGAAATCCGAGGCGAGAATAACTCTTTCCTTAAGATAAATTGCCCTGCTACGGTGCTCACGGTTGAATGACAAATGTCTCCCAAGATACAACAGATACAAACTTACGGTAACAGCACTTCAAACCACAAGACTAGTGAAACTTCAATGGAATTTTTCCTCTACAAAGGAATGTTATGAGAATGAGAGAAAGATAAATTGCAAGAGAAAAATGGATGCTCAATGCAATGGTGAACTCAAAATCACGTCCAAAGGGTTCTATTTATAGATGTAGAAAGGGTATAAATGAAATAGTGTGGGCTAAAACATGCGTCCTTTCAAAAAGTTGCAACACTTAGCCAAAACCTCCTTTCGAAAAGTTGTAACACTTCATTACTTCCAACTTTGGACCACAATTTCTCATTCATCCAAAATTGGTTTTGAGATTCCAAACTCGACGAGTAGAATAAGTCAGTCTATTTACTTTTGTAATTTAACCATCGGATCAAGTCCGGATATTTGGTCGAAGTTGACACGAAGTCACACCTTTTCATACTTAACCAATTTTTTTTTATTAATTCGGTTGATTTTTGAACCAATTCCAACAATCCCCCACATGAATGAAAATTCGAGTATGCACATGCAATGCTATAATATGATGCATTATAGAGAGAGAGAGAGAGAGAGAGAGCAGAAAGCCATCATATCGGGGATGGTAGCTTCTGGCCTTGAACCTCCCGTAGTGAAATACCATTGGACTTACTCGGCTAAGTGGTAAACGTGACGTCTTGAACCATTCAGCCTTTGGTTTAAGCCAGGACAACGATACTCACAAAGATGTCTTCCTTATTTCGTACTTGTTTCTCAGACTTGGTTTATTTTGGCCCTGAACCCATCTCGATTTCATAAGTGTTTAAAGAATTCAAGCCTTGAATAATTCTTATTTAAGCGGCCCCACTTCGCACTTGCATAGGTGACCTCATATTAAGAGTATTCTACCCTACTCTACTTGACTTTAATCAAGATATGAACCAAGATCTTGGGATCTCCAGTCAACAAGGTAGGGTTACCATTGTACGGACTCTAACGTAGTAGGTTTTACCTCATTTCCTTCGATATGCAGTATTCTTGATCTCTCGTAGTAAATCTCTTTTAAAGGTACCATGAGTTTACACCATTGGGATCAACTGCTTGATAGTATTATGTCTAGACATATGTGTCTAGATTTACTATTATATGTGACTTAGTATCTTATCAAATATAGCTAGCCAACGATCGATTTATTTAATAGATACACATTGTCACCACCAAGAAATCCTCTCATGAAGCTATATGCTTCTCATTAGATTTATCTAAAGCTTTTATCAACTTTCAAACACGATTGGAGGATTTCTTATCATTACACTAGTCAATCATTTCTTTTAGTTGAAAGGCATTTAATTTCCAATATTAAATTATCACAATGTATTTGAACTTTATGATTATTCTTTAAATATTCCAATTTTTCTTGCTTCTTCTAGCCCTTTTAGTAGTGGATTGACTATCACAGTGTATACTTATGGAACATCTTTGAAGCTGTTCTACTTATTCTTTGACTTTATCCGAAGCAATGAACTCAAATTCCATAGGTATTGAGCAATACACATTTGCTTTGTTGATTTCCATGAGATAGCAGCTCCACCAAGGATAATAACATAACCTCTTGTGGACCGGGAATCCTTCACGTCAGATATCTAATTAGCATCACAATATTATTTGAATACGATAGGATATCTTGTGAAATGTAATCAATGGGTCATAGTATGCTTCAAGTACCTTAGGACCTTTGTCAATGCCACCTAATGATTGTGATCATGGCCTGAATTACTCGTGAATCTACTAAGCAATA